CGGACGCCACTGCCAAGGGGGAACCGGGGACACCCGGCGCGTCAACTGGGGGAACCGCTGACTCCGCCTCCCCCGCGACCCAAATCGAGACGGAAGCGAGAGCACTGGGCCACCAGTCCAACTGCCCATGAAAACCCTGGAGCCAACACAGGGAGAAGGAGGAGAGGAGAAGGAGAAGGGAGAGAGAGAAAGAGGAAGGAGAAAAAAGAGGGGAGCTCCGACCTTGCTGCGCCACTGCCGCCACCACTGAGGAGAGGTAGGAGAGCACCAGGAGGGCAAGGACACGTGGCAGAGCCCAGGCCCGACCCAAGCCTCCTCCACGGCGGCTAGCGCTCCAAGAGAGCAGGCTGGGGCCCAGAGTAAAGCCACGTGACAGAGAAGATCACAGAAGAGAAGATATTACTTCTAAAAAATTTTTAAAAATAACTTTTTAAAAATAACTTTTTTTTCTCTTTTCCAAAAAAAAAGTGTCCCCGGATTCTTTGAAAAAAATCTGGTAACCTTACTCTAATCATTATACCACACTGCCTTACAAAAATGTTTCCATCGTACCCACCTCTTTTCAAGCATAACAAAAGGCAAGCTTGTAATTAAAAACTTGCAAATGTAGTTAACAATTAAGGGAGTTTAATATACTCTTCCATGGATTATCTTTGAATGCATTTTCTATTACCTTCTTGCAAATTAATATGTAGTATATAATACCACCCCGCCCTCCCAAAAAAGAATTTAAAAGATGGCTATTTAGAAGGGACAGCAAGATTTGGATTCACAATTGGAATCCACAAAGCTATTTGGGCATAAAATCAGACCTTGGCAGAAGTAACTACATAAAGTCAGAGTCAAGTGATAGAGTTGCTAGGAAATTTTGAAAATCCAGACACTGATGAAATTACAATAACAATCATCACTTTGCACAGCAAGGAGCAGAGTTCTACTCCTGATTTCTCATTTCAGAAACTCATGGGATCCGGGGAATCCTAATCATCACCTCACCCTACCCTGCTGCATTGAGACAAACTCATATTCCTCTCAGATAAGCCCACTTAGGAGATCAGAAGTGGGCAGCACACATATGTATCTTGAACCACTTTAGTATGGCAGATCAGGTCTCCTCAGACTCCACAGAAGTTTGTCATTGTTTAGAATTACGTTTCTAGGCCTCATGGCGACCATAGTCTGCTTGAAAGAGAGATGGCAAAAAACCGAGGATGAGAAAGAAAGCAAATGAGGGGAAAGAAGCACTGTTTGATTAGATTATGTAATTCTCCAAACCCATAAATATTTACCGTATTTTTCGCTCCATAAGACGCACCTGACCATAAGATGTACCTAGTTTTTAGAGGAGGAAAACACGGAAAAAAATATTCTGAATCAAATGTTGTACTAAACTATTTAAAGCTGCAAAGCGGGCGGCTCCTGTCTGCTTTGCTGCTTTAAAGCGAGCCACGGAGGAGGAACGGGAGGGAGCCATGGCTCCCCTTCCTTCCCTCCACTGTGGCTCGCTTTAAAGCAGCAAAGCGATCAGGAGCCGCTTACACGTCCCTCTTCCATGCAGCATTCACTTCATAAGATGCACAGACATTTCCCCTTACTTTTTAGGAGGAAAAAAGTGCATCTTATGGAGCGAAAAATACGGTATATTAAAAGGCTGGCAAGAGGTACCTCGCAGGCAGGATATTTGCCGCTCTCCCCACTAGTTTTGGTGAGTGCTCCTCTTGCATGCTGTGTGGATTGCAGCTAGCAACAACCTACTTTTTCCTCTGCACTGACAGGGATCTCTCCATTTGCAAGTCTTTGGCACAGCCAGAGGGTGCCTAAGGAAAACTCCTTGCTGAGCTGAATTCAGACTGAGCAGGCCCAAAGAGCCAGTTTTTAGTGGAGAAATGGGGGTGGGTGGGCAGCTTCAATGAGATTTCATTAAATGCAAAAAGATCTCATGGTATGCAAAACTTTCAGTGAATACATTCATAACAAATTGCACGAAAATCAGAAATCACCCATCGTTTCCTGCTTTTATCTCACCCCAGCCAATTCCCGCTTACCGCCTTCCATAACCTGTGTGCTTATTTTCTCATAAATTGTACTCTGTAAACTTTCCTTGGTTTCAGGGCCACTGAACCAAAGTGAACGAAGGGGAAGGGTCACAAGCTCAGTGGCAGAGCACATGCTTTGCATAAAAAAGGTCTCAGGTTCAATCATTTTATGGAACATTAATTGTATAATCGTATAAATGGCTTTGCTGTTTTTAAGAGTCTGTTATCTTTTGCGTTTTACCCCATTTTGTCTTAGCAGCACCACTTCAACAGCTTCTGGCTGTGAAGCAGCATATGACTCTAATATAAAGCAATAAAATACCTGCCATCTCTGGGTGGGGCTGGAAAAAGACTTGTCCATAAACCCAGGAGAACTGCTGCCAATTAGAGTAGACAAGGACCTCTGGTCTCCCTTGGTATAAGGCACCTTTCTGCGTTCCAATTTGTCCTGGGTCTCTCAATTAGGCCTAAATATCATTGAGGGACGGGGAGGGGGCAGAGAGGCTCGAAGTGTGTTATTTGGTTGACGAGTTTGCCTTCATATTTGGGTTCTTGAGAACAGCTGATTGACACACTGTTTTTCCACTCTCAGCTGGAAGCAGAATGGAACTAGGGGTTCCATTCAACAATGTCCCCCATAGCAGTTCCACAGTTGCCAGCCATCACAGTCCTACATTTCCTTACTATGTGTATATTGCCCTCCTTTTCCAACGAGGACTGCCCTGCTTATTAAAGCACCTGTTCTTCCCACCAAGATGATAAAGAAAGGCTGGTAGCTCATGACGATCCAGACTCAGAATCCTGCTAAGGTAAAGGTAAAGGACCCATAGACGGTTAAGTCCAGTCAAAGGCAACTATGGGGTTGCGGCATTCATCTCGCTTGAGGCCGAGGGAGCCGGTGTTTGTCCACAGGCAGTTTTCAGAGTCATGTGGCCAGCATGACTAAAGCGCTTCTGGCGCAACGACACCATGATGAGTGCCAGAGTGCACGGAAACGCTGTTTACCTTCCCGCCACAGCAGTACCTATTTATCTACTTGCGCAGGTGTGCTTTCGAACTGCTAGGTTGGCAGAAGCCTGGACAGAGCAATGGGAGCTCACCACCACTGAGTGGATTCAAACCGCCAACCTTCTGATTGGCAAGCCCAAGAGGATCAGTGGTTTAGACCACAGCACCACCTGAAGAATCCTGCTATCCAGGACAGAGGCACAAACTAGAAAGCTCTGCACGCAGTGCACTCCCACTGCTGGTTTAGCTACACCACATTAGCTACAATCCACATCTATCCTGCTTCTGTCCTGTAGTTTCTTATGAAATACTGCACTTTGATGTAGTTTCCCCAAAAAACAGCTTTGATCCAAATTAAGAAAATGAATGACCTAGCAGCATTTTAAACCACTAGTGTGTAGGAACATGAAAGGAGCCTGCTAAATCAGGCCAATGAACCCATCTAGTCCAGCACCCTGTTCTCGTAACAGTGACCCAGAGAGGCCTGTGCAAAACAGGCAAACAGGACCAGAGCATAAGAACACTCTCTCCTCTTGTGGTTTCCCGCAACTGGTATTCAGAAGCATTACTGCCTCTGACTATGGAAGCAGAGCACAGTCCTCATGGCTTATATCCATTGATAGATTTTATCCCTTATGAATTTTTTCCCATTCTCTATTAAAGCCATCCAAGCTGGTGGCCCATGTGAGCAAGTTCCACAGTTTTAACTGCTTGCTGTGTGAAGAAGCACTTGCTTTTTAGGATATATGTTTTAGAGAAATATTACATAGAGGACTGATCTGAAGAGAAACCTCATGGAAGCAAGGATGGGAGGTCAAAATCTTAAGGGAATGTTGCATGGAAATTGATTGAATTTGCTGAATTGTTTCTCTCTCCCCTTTCTCCATGAATAATTGTATAAATCTCTGCCATGTTACCTCTTCCTTGCCTTTTCCCTGGATTCTGCAACCTTTCCTCACAGGTGAATCACTCCATCTGTGTACACAGCCAAATAGTCACCTGGGTGGAAACATTGGATGTGAATTCTGCTTTTGACCTCCTTAGGAACCGAACCATTGACTACCGCTTTGCTGCTTACCATTCATATTCATTCTTTAAACTCGTTTTTAATGTATTTTTTATTATTGCCTCCTGTACATGGCCATCTGACGGATGGCAGATGCCACTGTGGCATATCCAAAGGATACTGAATGTGAATCGCAATACTCAGGTGCCTTTTTTCAAAAGCTATTTTAAAAATGCCCCGTGATACCCTGAACATTATTTCTACACTGGAAGGGTGTAGTAAAAATACTCTCTGAAATAAGTGAAACGGTTTCTGGGTGACTTTGTCTCATCAGCCCATCATCTAGCTCAGTACTGTCTACAATGGCTGCCAGAGGCTCTCCACGGTTTCAGATGCAGAGGGCCTCCCCGGCCCTACCTGAGGGTACAAGGGACTCAACCCAGGCACCTTCTGCATGCAGTGCACGTGTCGTGCCCCTGAGCTCTGGCCCCTTGCGCGAAAGAAGAATGAATTGGTGCTTAAATGTTACTGCTCTGACCAATTGTCGCTATGCAGCCACGAATGCTTCTGAAGATTATGGTGTAAAATACGTCCCTTAACAGGATTAGACAAATGGGGAATAAGTCCATCACAGCTATTACCTATGACTCCAGTGCAGAACCTTCAGCTTCAGAGGCCATATAATTCTGAAAACCAATCGCTGGGGAACAGCAGCAGTCAGATTCATGCCCTGTGGGAAACAGGGTGCTGGATGCAACTGGTAACACGACGCTGTAGGAATTCCAAGGTGTTGTGAATAAAATGCACGTTCATAAGTGCATACATGTCTGAAATAGTACCGAGGGCAACACAGCAGCAGTGTTTAGCAGCCCCTAGTCAACGTCAGAGACCCTGTCAAGTCAGATAGCAGGAAATTCCTGATAGGTCCTCCCTCTGCAAACTGGTAGAACATCTTGTTGGGATAACTCAGTTGGTAGAGCATGAGACTCTTAATCTCAGGGTTGTGGGTTCAAGCCCCACATTGGGTGAAAGATTACTGCATTGCAGGGGGTTGAACTAGATGGCCCTTGTGGTCCCTTTCAATTAAACATCCCTACATGGTGCTGATAATGCCAAGGTTGCAGGGGCAGCTGCATGTTCCTGCATTGCAGGGGGTTGGACTAGATGACCCTCAGGATCCCTTCCAACTCTATGATTCTAAGTATCTGTTGAACGGCCAAGCTGATCTGTCAAAAGATCAGACATCTATGCATGAATGAAACAGGTCCTTGACAATGGATTGGAGTCCCAGCTATTCGCCATTTCAAAAGGATGTCTCAGAGAGGCCAGGAAGCCCAATTAACAGGTATTATCAGGTCTCTTGATTGACTGACTGTGTAAATATGTTGGAGAAACATGAACTCTGAGCATGATCTGATTTAGGCGTACAACCCATTTTGTGATGTATCTGTGACATTTTGGGGTGGTGTTTCTGTTACAGGGGCGGTCCCTATCTGAGGGTTTAAAATTTGTAAGATGCCTTTGTTCTGGGCTCCTCACCTCCTTGCAAGGTGGTAGGAAGGGGGAGAGACTCTGTTGCAATACCCCAATAAAGATCAACAGCTTCATTTGCTTCCTTGGTAGCTTCCATTTTTAGACCCAAAGTCCCACGATAGGGAGCTTGGCTGCAAAAGCCAACCTCATTTTTCTAACAGCAGGAACCTGCCTATTCAGAATACTGTCGACACTGACTGGCAGCAGCTCCCCAGTGAGGGCCTTTCCTATTTAAGAGACAAAAATTGAATCTGGGACCTTCTGTATCCAAAACATGTCCTCTGCCACTCAGCTGCAGTCTTCCTCCCCGCCCCCCGCCCCCCCACTCCCAGGTGCAACACATTCACATTTTGTAACTGGTCATTCACTCATCAGAATGGCATGTGCATTATTCAGAGTCCTATGCTTTCAATGGATGCAACTTTGAAATCAAATTGATTTTTTTTTTTACATAAAAGAAAACACCCTTTGACCTCCAATTTGGTTGCCATTGTACTGCCAGACTTAAACTGTGTCACATAAACCCCCTGATTTCTTGGGCTACATGGGCAAAGCCCAGGCCACAATGGAGAATTTCTTGATTTCTTGCAGAGGCATGCCAGCATTCAGCAGGCAATCAGTTAATGCATTCCAAGCCATATAAAAAGAGATAGGCGTTTGCTGCTAATAAAAGAACAGTACTGAGAGCCACCCAGGAAGAGAGATCCGTCCAGGGGAAAGATGCGAGCTGCTGAGAGAGGAGGCGTGGGAGGGGGACCCATGATGCAGCTGAAGGATCCTCAGGCTTCCTTGCAGGGACATAGAAGGCTCAGGGGGGATGGCAAGCAGAAGGAAGCAGGGAAGTGGCAGTGTCACTTAATTATAGCAGTATTAACGAGGCATTTCTCTTTCGCTGAAATTATCTGAGACAATGGCAGTGAATGGAACTCCACAGCCTGAAACGGGGAGGGAGGGAGGGGGAGGGCTTAGCGATGGTGAAAGAATATCCCACAAGGGTTCATCTCTTGCCAACATCCCTCTCAGTCCCAGGCTCTCAAAATGAGGCGCTCTGGGACTCCAAAGGGCCAAGGAATGTGACACTTTAAAATGCAGAGCACGAACGGCGCATGTTTCAGGGCTAATCTCCGGCACTTTTGCGGCCTAGGCGGGGAGGATTACACCAGGGGTCAGCTAACTTTTTCAGCAGGGGGCCAGTCCACTGTCCCTTGGACCTTGTGGGGGGCCGGACTATATTTTGAAGAAAAAAATGAACAAATTCCTATGCCCCGCAAATAACCCAGAGATGCATTTTAAATAAAAGGACACATTCTACTCATGTAAAAACACACCGATTCCTGGACCGTCCGCAGGCCAGATTGAGAAGGTGATTGGGCCGGATCCAGCCCCCGGGCCTTGGTTTGCCTACCCATGGATTACACCCACACTCACACGGCACAGTTGTTTCAGGGGTCCCTGGACCCTCTGGCTCATCCTCTTACTGCCTCTACGTTTGCCAAAAGGATGGGGCATCCTTCATTCAGGGCACAGCAGTTTTTGCCAACTCCTTCCAGAACCTCCCCTTCTGCATGCACATGCCACTGCCCCCTTGGACCTTTACAGTGACCCGTAGATTACAAATTAAACAAGCAGCCGTAGTAAATTATACTGCTTTTGACAAAAAGCAAGGAACACCCAAGCTTTTGATACCTGAGGTGTAGAATTTTTAGCACTCCCCCTATTGTGCGATTGCAAGTTGTTTTAAATTGTTTTTAGTACTGTATTTTAATTATTGTAACCCACCTTGGAACCTTAGGGCAAATGGCAAGTAGATGAGGAAGAAGAAGAAGAAGAAGAAGAAGAAGAAGAAGAAGAAGAAGAAGAAGTTGTTTTGCATCAAACTGCTTGGAGTTTTGGATGGCATTGGTGGGTAGGAAATCCTTTCCCAACAAAATATTCATGTGGGTTGGCATATATTTGATCATTTGTTTGGACACCAAAGCCACACACAGGTATATGTGACTTGAGGATGCTGGCCTTTTAAGTCTATTTTCTTCTATTTCATTATAAGCTATGCACCCAAATGTCTCAATACACTGTGAACCACTTTTTCTGTGGTTCGGTGATTTGGTTCTGGCTTTGGTTTGGTTCAGGCAAATCTGTTATTCAAGATTTGGAATCATGGAATGTCAAGCCATACTCCAGGAAGGTTTGTTGTTGCGGGAGGGTGTTTCAGTATTTTTATTTTAGATCTTGTGATTTATGTGGAAATCATTCAGCTTGGTTGTGCATTTTTTATATTTTATTATTATTTATGACTACTTTTGTTATGTAGTAGTTATGTTGTAAGCCGTGTTGTAAGCCGCCTTGAGCATTGCTTGAACACTGGAAAGGCAGCATACAAATAAAATTATGTATGTATTTACCGTATGTATTAATCTAATAATCAAAGGGCCAGGTCCATAGAACTGCATCAGGAACACCTGGAAGAAGTTACGACCCCCACCCCACCCCACTTTGAATTGACAGCAGATCCACCAGGGCCCCTTTAACAGAAACAGTATTTAAGGACCTCTCAGTTTCAAAAGGGTTTTGCCACATGTGTGTGTTGGTGGGGTGGATACTATACAAGAAACACAAGTTAGTACATTTTTAAAAGACCTGTTTGGATAACAGTATAAACACTGGGACATTGATTCACCTGACTAGTCTGTCTAGAAGATTGTGCAAATAATGACAATTACCTTAGTAACTAACCTGGGGAGAAACTGATACAAAATACAGTACCTTTTTTCTTATGGATAGCAATCTAAGCACCACACATTACAATATATCATTTCATATCTGTGATAAGCGTAGAAATTTTTGTATATGCACTTCTCAGAAATGTTTATCAGAGTGTTTATCATTGTTGTTGTTGTTCTAATTTTAATTTTATGTAATTGTTGCATGTCATGTGCTCTAATGTAAACAAAGATATATCTGTGTTCAACCTAAGGAGAGGAGGAGGAAGGATTGGTATTCATTTTGTTGTTTTATTATTCTTTGTGATTGTGAGCTTTTGAGATTGATATATATCAATCCCATTTTTTTAAAAAAGCATCAGAAGCAAAAAGCTGCCTTCATGTCCATTTCTCTGGTACTAGAAAGACTCACAATTGCAAACCCAACCACTAGTGCACTGGGCGGGAGCTTAGCAGTGAGCCCCAAGGGAGCGATTACTTCAGCAATGGCTTGGCTCAGAAAGGGAGCTTATGTAGGACTTAGGGGCTCCATCCTTCCTGACCATCAGCTAGGCCTTGATCCAGGCAGGCACCTATGTGGGATTCTCCTGAGTAATCTCACATGAAGGATAGATTTGTGCGGCTAGCCAGACACTCGGCTTGAAGCTCTTTCCTGGCTGGCTGTGTCCTCTGTTTCCCAGGGTGACGAGTTGGGGGTGGGGTGGGATTTTGAGAGCTGGCTGCAAGCCCCAGGCAGCCTGCAGACCCTCCAAGTGTCCCTATTTTCCAGGGACGTCACAGATTTACAGAAGCCGTGCCGGTTTCTGATTTGATCCTACAATGTTCCGCTTTTCCTTAGGACGCCCCTATTTTCATCGGAGAAATGTTGGAAGGTATGGTGTTATCTGACCCCTGAGCCATCTGAAAGCAGCCCTGTATAGGAAGTTTTTTTTTAAATGTTTAATGTTCTTATATATGTTGGAAGTCACACAGAATGGCAACTCAGTCAGGTGGGCGTGGTATAAAGATTATTATTATTATTATTATTATTATTATTAAATAGGATGTCCCTATTTTCCATCAGAGAAATGTTGGAGGGTATGCAGCTGGTCAGGTGATCTCTGCACCTGTGACTGCAGTGTTGAGATAGAAAAACGGTTTGCCGGGACCTAGGATTCCCTCAGCGTCACTGGTGGGTGCCTTGGGACACAGTTCCTTTTGCTCCTCCTCTGTGGGGACCTCAGATTCAAGATCTAGCCAAAGTTGAGCAGTTATACCTGAGCATGTGGAACCAGTTGCACCATTCTTTAGATGCTTTCCACAATGAAGTTCTCTTCCCCATTTTTTCCAGTGCCGTTTGTAGATAAAAAGGGAAGAGATACTCAAACACAGGCACATAGAAAACCACATTACAGTGGTGCCTCAGGTTAAGTACTTAATTCGTTCCGGAGGTCTGTTCTTAACCTGAAACTGTTCTTAACCCGAAGCACCACTTTAGCTAATGGGGCCTCCTGCTGCCGCTGCGCTGCCGGAACACGATTTCTGTTCTCATCCTGAAGCAAAGTTCTTAACTTGAAGCACTATTTCTGGGTTAGCAGAGTGTGTAACCTGAAGCGTATGTAACCCAAGGTACCACTGTATATCGAGTCAGACCACTGCTTGTCCCTCCTCAAGAGTCCTGCTGAGCGCCAGGCTCCCCTGGACCACCCTCTCTAAGGCTGCCAACACAAGTGATTTTTCCTTCTCCTTGGATAAATTCCCTCCACCCGGCATTTGCCTTTTGAATATGAAACAAAAAGCAGGGTGGGTTTCTCCTCCACACACACACACACACACACACACACACAAAACTTCATAAAAAGAAAAGAAAAACCTACAGGCACTCACATCTCCCTCTTTATCTGCTCAGAGCTTGTAAAGTAGGCAAACCAACACTGCAAGGAACAGCCAGCCATGTAATAGCAGATGCCGACTGGTAACGTGTGTCTTCGCAGGCTGCCATTTCATATCAAATTAAGTGAATGCGCAGGAGGGAATCCCTCATAAAACTTCACTTAAATATTTTCTTCGCTACTCGACTGCTCATCTCCCGCAGAGTAAGAGAGCAGACAATGATCCAAAGGCAAGCAGTTTGTCAGCCTAAGGTAAATCTTCCCCACTCGAAGGCTTCCATCATTTGCAGGCATATAATGATTTTGCCCTTCCTGATAAAGAGGCCGGGAAAGAAAACAAAAGGAAAAGTTTAAAGAAAAAGAAAAGAAAAAGAAGATAGTTTGGTCTCTTCTGGGATTAACACCGCTAGCTAGCATCAGAGGCGAGATGAAATCTATTTAGATGTATTTTCATCAAGCTGCATCCCAAGAGTCTTCATCAAACATCAACAAATGCTGGATGGAAGATAAACTGGGCAGAATGCCTGGAATTTCACCTTTTGCTTAGGCTTCAAAACCGACATATATGTTTGACTGTTAGTGGATAACGCATTAGCATCGGCTCCAGGACACACTGGTTCAAAGCCTCCCCAATTCACTGAAACATGAGCTTGAAGTGCGTCACATCCCTCACAGCTTCAGTTTCCACATCTGTACAATGGAATAATAATTGCTTGCCTCGGTAGGTTCTCAGTGTTATCTGGGCCCGTTGGATATAACCTGCCAGCCTCACTCTTTGCTCTTCTGAGCTTTCTCTGACCACTTCCAGTATGCAGCCACTTTGTGAATGGGATTCAAGCACATACCAGCAAGTCCCAGTGTTTTGCCCACACTCCCATCTTGAGTTCAGCACTGCAGGCTGGATATACAGCACAGATTCAAAGCCCAGGTCTCAGCACTTCTGCCTGGAGGGGTCAAACACATACAGATCTGGTCCACAGTCACCCTTCAGTCTTTGAAGCCATTTGTGTTGCTTGCTCAAAATATAACTAGACCCAAAGTCCTTTTACCCATAGCAATGTCACAAAAAGCCTCAGAATGGAAATCCAGTTACCTCAGTAGCATCTCCTTCTAGCTGAGCTAGCAGCCATTGATAGATCTATTGTCCATGGAAGACAGGTAGACAAATTCATGGAAGAGAGGTCTATTGATGTCTATTAGCTGTGATAGCTAAATGAACCATCCACGTTGAGAGGCAGCATGCATCTGAATACCAGATGAACAAGCAACCAGTTTGTTGCCACAATGCCCTGTTTGTTGCATGCTTCTTAATCATCTGAGTAGCCATAGCTGGAATTGGACTGGCCATGATGCAGCATCTATCTCATGAGGGGTCAGCAGTAGACAGGGGGCTCCTTTCTGGTAGATCTCTAGATCATTTGCAGTAGATCAGCAAGTATTTCTTGCTTCCAATTGCTGAAACACCTTGTTGCCTTCAATTGTGTGGGGGTTTTCTTTATTGTTGCACACAACCCTGATATTGTAAAAATAAAAAATAAAAAGAACAAACAAGTTATCCTCTTCCACTCCCCTTGAATTAAGTTAGGTAAAGGTAAAGGGACCCCTGACCATTAGGTCCAGTCGTGACCAACTCTGGGGTTGCGGCGCTCATCTCGCTTTATTGGCCGAGGGAGCCAGCGTACAGCTTCCGGGTCATGTGGCCAGCATGACTAAGCTGCTTCTGGCGAACCAGAGCAGCGCACAGAAACGCCGTTTACATTCCCGCCGGAGCGGTACCTATTTATCTACTTGCACTTTTGATGTGCTTTCGAAGTGCTAGGTGGGCAGGAGCAGGGACCAAGCAACAGGAGCTCATCCCATCGTGGGGATTCGAACCGCTGACCTTCTGATCAGCAAGTCCTAGGCTCTGTGGTTTAACCCACAGCACCACCCGTGTCCCTTGAATTAAGTTACTCTCATGGAAAAAGCTTGAGGGGGCACCAGGAGCGGACATATGTGTGGAATGATTGACAGTTCTACTCTGGCACTGAAAACAAACTCCTAAGGCTGTGCATGTGGTCATACGCGTCCTATTTCTTCACTAATTCTAAGGTTATTTCCTTAGCTGCAGTTGTGTAACTGACTCTAGTTGGGAGACTGTGTTTCTAGTTAAAAACAACCACAGTAGATCCTGGAAACTTGAAGTCTCTCTGCCTCTGCTCTGTCTGATACATCATGCCCCTTCTTGAGACCGAAGAAGGTTAAAACCAGAAGCCAGGATAGCTTTGCCCAACCTTGGGCCCACCAAATGTTTTGAACTACAGCCCCAGGCAGCATGGCCGGAGACTGTGAATGCTGGTAGGCAGATGTAGTCCAAAACATCTGGAGGGCACAACAAGCTCAGGCAGCGGACTGGGAAATCAGCAAAACACTTGCTGCTGTCTCCGGCTGCCCACCTGACACTCTGCTCTGGACTACACCTTTCCAGAGGAGCCCAGGGTGGTGAGCAACAAGTGATAAAGCAATTAAAAACATATCCAATAAAGATGCAGGCTGGGAAACAGTTCACCTTGAAAGACTTCTTGAAAGATGAAGGTCTTCAGTAATTTCCAAAAAAAGACAAGAGAAGACAGTGCCTGTGTAATATTCAAGGGGAGGGCATTCCAGAGGGTAGGTGCCACAACACTAAAGGCCCGTTGTGCAGAACGGCCTCTTGATAACAGGATACCTGCAGAAGGCCCTTACCTGCAGAGCACAGTGATCAATTGGGCATATAAAGGGTGAGAGCCAGCGGGTGGTGGCAGGAAACCACCATTTTAAAATCTCGCAAATGTAATGCCCAATGTTACATCAACGTCACACAAAGCATTGCATTTTGGGGGTTATAGACGGCTGCAATGCTGGGCTGGGGCTGGGAGCAGCTGCCCAACGGGGGACATCTTTTGGTTATCCACCCCAGGGATAATCTTGGGCTGTCTTGGAAGGGGATGGGGGGGGGAAAGGACGGCCTCAGTGGCAGCAGGGAAAAGGCAGTTTGAAGACCCCTGAAGATGAGTCAGGGTGAGGGGGGGTGAAGCTAGAGGCGATTTGTTATAAGCCTTCCCCTGTCATATAGCTGTCCTGCCCTTTAAACGACCTTAGAGATAGTGTAGCTAGAACGGTAGTTAAGCATGTTTCTGTTGGTTTGAGTATCTCTCCTGTATATTTATCGCTCATTTTCCTCCCATAAATCTTGTTCCTTTGGCTTATGAATAAAGCAACCCCATTGGGTATTTAGTAAACTCCCTGCTGTCTCTCTTTATTGGAGTTTGCTTTCTCCACCATTCTCTGCCAATATGCCTTATCCTCGACCTTACTAACAGGATACAGATTTTTTTTAGAGATTAAGGGTGCCTCTGGCCCAGCCAGGATCATGTGGCAAATCAGACAGTGCTGGCCCTGAAACTGGCAGAAATTAGCCATATTCCTATATAGTTGTAGGCCTGGACACCCTCCTCTGTGTGTCTCGCTGCCCTTCAGTGTAATCTACCTCACAGGGCTGTTGTGAAGTTTGAGCACCCATTTTATTTCCTTGGAGGAAAGGCAAGGATACCAATGTAACCGATAAATTAAAAGATTGCAGGAAAAGCTGCTGAGAATTAGCCTGCCTGAACAAAAAGATAATTAAAGCGGGTTAACATATCAGAATTACACCATCTTGTTAAAGTCACCTGTGTGATATATTACAGCACTGGAGAGAGATAAACAGGATCTAGCCCACTGGGATTTTTAGGTCACAGCTCTCTGCTTTCTCTCCTATTTTTCAATAGATCTGGGACCACAAACTGGCTCAGCAAAACTCAAATCTATCTTCCACCAGCCTGCCGCATTACCACAGTGTCAACCCTGCAAACGCTCTTCAATAAGACCAGTAACAAGAATTCAATAAGATTCACTCGGCTGAAGTTCCAGATATTAATTTTTCTTCCCTCTGTTCACTCCTTCAGCTATGTGCAGTGGCCTGAAAGCTTTTATTACTATGGGCAGGGAGGAGGGAAACATGGAGAGAATGAGCTCCCAAATGTAAGAACATGGAAACTACTGAAAGTACAAGTGTCAAAAGAGGTTGCCAGCAGCTTCTTTGGGGATAACAATCTCACATTTACATCAAGGCAATATTCCATCCTGGAAAGTCTTAGGTGGCTACGTTTTAACTTTGCCTGCAAATTATTCAACACAACACAGCCAAGTCTGGCTGCCCACCTGCCCACTAAGCCCCCCCCCCCCTTCCCACTCACTCCTTGAGGACCCCTTTCCCCAAATGATCCACACACTCACCTCTTTCCTGAAGCCAGCTTTTCCAACAAGAGGCTTAAGAAAAGCAGACCAGATTGAGTGGGTAGATTAAGAGGCACTTGGGTAGCAGATGCACATTTGTTTATTACATTTTAAAACGCTCACTGTATTTTTTAAAAAAATCTGCTTTCTGCATGGAAAGCAGTTCATATGCTGATTGAATCTTCCTCCTTGGCTTATTGTTGGGTGTTTGGGCTTTTGATTTAAGTTTCTGCTACAATAACTTCTTCCTCGCTCGGGAAGAGCTTCTAGGAAGTTAATACCACTGCAAAGAGCAAACGAGACACCACAACGGGATCACAGCACACACCAGGGGCCAGGTCTGCAGCTCCCAATAAAAGTGTGAGAAAATGAGCCTTGTTAGATTCGACTGAAGGACCATCTAGGCCAGCATCCCATTACATACATGGGACAGCCCATGGGAAGCATCACGCCAAAGCAGAAGCCCTCTGCAGCTCTTCCCCAGTGACTAATATTCATGGGCATTGTGCCTCTGACCCTGGAGGTAACATACAGACACCATGACTAGTAGCCATTTATAGTCTAAGAATCATAGAGTTAGAAGGGACCCAAGGTCATCTAATCCAAGCCCCTGCAATGCAGGAATCTCAGCTAAAGCATCCATGACAGAGGATCACCTTGCCCTCCATGAAAGTGTCATCCCCTTTCAGAGCCATCTAAGTTGGTGGCTGTCATACCTTGTGGTGTCAAATTCTAGAAGCTAAATATTATTACTTATTCGTTTTATTAGTCACTTGCTACCAAGGTCTCCAAGCGACTTACATTTCAGAACATAAACATAAATATATTACCAATATGAACGCCTACAATCCACATGCACACACAGAGGAATAACCTCCATAACAGCCACAGGAAGCTCTGGCAGAACAAAACCAGCTCAGTCCATCAAACACCAGGGTGGGGCTTTACCTGGCACTGAAAATATGTCAAAGAAGGCGGCAGGTAGATGAGAGTATTTCACAGATGGGGAGACACAATCGAAAAAGTCCTCTCCCTCCACCTTCTGAGCCGCCCTCAGTAGAGGACCCAGAGAAGGGCCTCAGCAGATAATCCAAGGGTCCAAGTAGGTTTCAGAAGATATAGGGGTCCTGAACCATAAGGGCATTCCAGGTTAAAACTAGTGTCACTGAAATGGGCGCTATGCAAAGAAGTATTTCCTTTTGTCTGGTATTCAGCTTCACTGGGTCACTCTGGGTTGTAGTTTGGGGAAAACAGGGAATGTGAATGGCATACTGTCCAGTTTCCCCTGGAATAAAGCTTGGGGAGAGCAGCCTCTCCTTGACACCCCACCTCTTTCTCTTTCGTAATAGCTGGCGAAACAAGCAGGAATGGAATGCCATATTTATACTAGATGAAGAAGCTCTAGTCCTCCAGAGGTTGTTGGACTCCAGCTCCCATTAGCCCCAGCCAGAGCAGCCAACGATCAGGGATGACAGGAGATGTAGTCCAGCAACAGCTGGAGGGCCACAGGTTCCCTATTCTGGCTACAGAAGATGAAGATCAATCTGAATGTTGTTTTCTTGGGGGAAATCCTCAACGACGAATCTAAGAAAGTACACACACGTTTTATAATGCATTGGGGAATTTGGAAATCAGCTTGATAATGAATCTTTTTGTTACCTGTTGGCTTTGCCTTTTTTGTAACCCTCACTCTTTCTTATTTATTCTGTTTACGGATTGATCTGCTGGCCTTCAGGGCAAAGCACTACCAAGGCAGCTGACATAAACAATTAAACCCATAAAATACAACCAAGGCAATACAATTAGTTACAAAACTTAAAAAACAGCATTCTACAAACAATCTACAGCACAGCAATTCAGATAAAGCATACATCGGATTGGGGAGGGGAGGTGGGAGGGAGGGACACAAAGGTAACACCGTTGGCCCATAAGAAACCCAGAAAAAACCACGGTGGGGCCGTTCCTTCATTAGGAACAAGCAAAAGTCACAAAACAGAGATGAAGATTTTGAGTTTTCCAGGACCCTTCATCATGCTGGATGTTAAACGGGGGGGGGGGGGGTAAGAGAGAGAAGGAACTGGCTTGACGCTAAAGCCGCAACACATACATTGTTCTCAGCCTTCAGGAAGAATGTAGGAAATGGTAGCAGGACTTAAGTAGATTATGCTCTCCAAGATGCTGTGCATGTTTCAAGTCACAGCTAGGGATGCTGGAATGAAGGCAACACACCATGGCAGATTCCCCCATTTTTTGAAAATATAAAGCTCAACAGACAGCTACCCAGATCAGCCTCTTCTCCAGCCATAAGCAAAAACACACAGGTTGCTCATGGTAAGGGTAGTAGTAAAGAGGAACATGGCCGTTTTAATATTAGCAAAGCTGGAGATTCAGTATGCAATGAGGACAAAGGCAGGTGAGGCCTCTTGGGTAATAGCCACTGGTGCAGGGGGTGTTTGCAAGTGTGTCCCAGTTTTTGCAAGGGAAGCAGCTCTTTCAGCAAAGCCTGGCCATGCACTGAAAAATAGCAGCCAGACCACCAGGCTCCTTCTCCCTGTCCCTTTAATCTTTGCAAAACTCAATTTTTTACCTTCCTGCTTGTGGCAGTTTCTCTCCCCACCCCACAATACACGAAAGCCGCTTTCCAATTCAGCTAACTTTGATTTTATGGCTTTTGAGGCGTGCCACTGCTCCACCCATCTTGATCTCAGCCACCTACAGAAAGTGCCTGATTTTCTTTTTTTTCCATTAGTGCAGCAGAACGTCCAAAATCTGTGAGATGATATATGACCTATTAGATTAATGAAGATTATTACTAAAAGGCTCTCAGCAAAAATGAGACAAGTAAACTGATTAGTAAAATGATATGTTAGCCTTCCCTTTCATTTTCAAGGAAGGAGAGACGTTAACAGGCCACCTCTGTTCCTAGGCAAGGATTGTGGATGTTTGTTTCCCACACGAAAATATAAATAAATAAAGTGAGACGTGTGTCTGCGTGTGCGTGTAGAGGCGCATAGTCACTAACAGCTGTGGTACCTAATGTATTGATGCCTGCCTCTTGCCTGAACCATCACAGCTGTATGCAGAGCACATCAGGGACCACGTTTCCTGGTGCATAAGCGGCGGTTTCTCAATATGAAAGCCTATTTAAAAAATCATTATAATAGCAAAGCAAGTTCATTCCCCGCATTGAGCGTATGTCCAAGGCATATAATTGCAAATGGGAGTCTTAAATCTCACCTAGGGCAGCACAGGAGGCTGGTAATACCATTCACTCAAGATGTGCAGAAGGTCAAAGTGAGATCTTGGCTGCCAAGGTCCAGAGGCAGGGGAAACCTCAGATACGTCACCAGGGGGACTTCCACCTGTGAAAGAACCTCACCAACTGTTCTACAGGCTGTCATTGACAGCTGTGGCAGAGGTCATGCTTTGCTTTCCTGGAGGCCCATGGATGGATGAGCTGCCGCAGAGA